AATTGGTTCGATTATAGAACGATTGTAAACGTTCCAGAAAATTGATCAAATTGAAAATAGTTCGTTTGACTGGACGTAAAAATTCTATAATTAGTCTGGAAACGGGGGACCTAATTCTTGCATTCTGTGCTATAAGAGTGTGGGAGATATGGGGTTGAAAGTGGTTGACTTCAAAGATGTGTAACAATGGAAGTGTCAACAATAGAAGTGTTAACAGTGGAAGTGTTGAGTAACAAAGAAAGTGTTAATATAAAGCGGCATGCAAGATTTACAGGCGGTTTTTTTGTGTGTTTGTGGGAAATCAAACATATTTTTAGACTCATGTAAAAATTCTCTAATTAGTCTGGAAACGGGGGACCTAATTCTTGCATTCTGTGAAAACGGGTAAGATTGGCTATAATGTAATTATCTTAATCTTCACTATCGTTACTTTTTGCCAAGCAAAGCAGATCCTTGCAGCTAGATTCTAGATTACTTAGAAAAACAGTCTTTTATATATAAAAAAAACTATATTACATACAAATAAAAACCCAGTGAAGCGGGTCCTTGCAGCTAGTAGATATATAAAAATGATCAGATGATTGAGGTATCTACCTGCTGTGCCAGGGAACCAAGATTAGGGTACTAGTGAACTCAGAAATGCAGAATAATTTGATTTGATTTCATGGAGTAAGACAATCTATCAAGGCAAGTCCCTCCTGGGATAACTTTATGAAAAACTGACCACTATTCAGTTGTTAGACATGTGAATAAACCCCAAAAAACTGCACGTGGCAAGCCTATTGGTTGGACACAAATCAGAGATAAACCACTGCCATTTGGTGATTTTATCTACTCGACCACAAGTGAGCAGATGTATATCAACCTTTCTATATTGGGCCCCGTTCCTCGCTGTCTGGTAAATGTCATTTGTGAACTTGGCCAAACCAACAATGGGTATGAAAAATTCTCCTAAGACTCAAAATGGAAGATTTAAAAATACACAGACATTTACTATTTAGCTGCATAAAGTTTTCAGAATTGTGTTTAAAATCCATACACACAGTTCTGTTTTTCATTATAGTGCTTGAGAGTAATGAATGACTAACTTAAAATGAATTGTATAAAAATAACCTCTGACTCTAAAATACTATTTAAAATGTCTTTGTTTAATGTGCATTATGTACATTTAAGTTAATTAGAATTATCTAAATGACTTGATTATCAAATAATTCTAATGTTTCATATATATATATATATTCTAATGTTTCATATATATATATATATATATGAAATGAATCATGTTCATCATCACATCTGATAACCAAAACATTGATTCTTACAAGTTTTTCACAGATAATGTTGAAACACTTTAAATTAGCTTTAAATAAAAGAAAATTATTTTATCATAATTAAGTTACATTCTTTCTAGACTACAAATTAAGTATTTATACATGACCTTAACAGTCATTTATCACCACAAATCATCATGTAAGCATACTCTTGAAGTCAAAAGCAATGTATATTTGGGCTAAAATATATTAAAGTAACTAGAGAATTTCTCTGTTGTGACATTGCAAAATCATATTAAATTCATAGCTGCTATATAATAACATTCTTGTGTTTTTTTTATAATGGATAATCTGAATATTAGAGTCTATATAATAAAAAGTGAAAAATAAAAAACTAATCATCCATAATTTTTTCTTAATTTACTCAATTATTAAGATAACAAATTTATGATTAATTTAAAATATGATTTGTTGTTCAGTATGAAATGTTTTAATGGAACATTAATCCAAAATTACAACTAAAAACTTGCTAGAGCTTTCAAGTTTGCACTTATTCTCTGACAATTTATTTGAATACATCAAGCTGATGACAAGTGTAAGCCTGAGAACACTAGCAAGTTATTTGGATTTAATTTTGGATTAATGCTAAAAGTATTTATGTTGAGTTTACTTCATTAAGTGGCATTTGTAGTGCATATCTTTTCACAATTTATTGTTATTTATTAATTGCACCTACTCAAATCAAAAGTGAAACTTAGACATGTAATACAGAGGGCAACATGGAAACTTTTGCATTGGCTGAATTATTTAAATATTTTAAAGAAGCTAAAAGAAAAGTAAATTTCCAACTCACCCATTTTGTGGTTGAAATATTCTGGATTAGTTTATAAGCTTACCTTAATAATCTATTCTTCGTTTCAGTTTAGAAATAAGGAAGATAAAGTCAATTAGAACTAGACGTTTTCCAACTGTTAAAAATAATCACTGCCAATTTGTGGCTCTGAATATATAGATCCTGTTCCAAGATGTTCCTTTTACCCAAATGCAATGAGAGAATATAAACAAGACCTACCCGTGCGGATTGAACCGCACTTAAGACCTATAGTCCAGGAACTGGCTTGATCTGTAGAAGTAAATCCTTGGCATCCACAGGTGTGAAGAATATTCAACACAATATAACGACACAGCTCAAACAGTTCTTTTGAGGATTATTACATTAAACTGATGGCACAATCTATTGGCACTTTACTAATGAATATACTGTTCACAAACACTTACCCAGTTCTTTTGGTCACATAAATTAAATTTTATGCTAGAATCAACAATTAGATAAACAGATCGGATCATGATTGTTGATTATTTTAATATTGGATGATAAATCATTCACTAAGAATAAGTTCATTTTCATTTTTTTTAAAATATATTTTTATCACCCAATGCATGCCAGGCCTAATGGGAATAAATAATCCCACCCAAAATAAGCAAAAACACTATTTTTTAATGTCCCTTTTTAAAAATATATCCAGTCTTTTTGAAGAAAGATCGAGAAGAAAGAATTATTTTTACGTCCCTTTGTATTTTTGCTTCTGGCACAAAACACACACACACAAATCCCAGTTGCCTTGACCGGCACATCTTTTGCAGATAGTGAAGCGGTATCTAGTTGTAACCTGTGAACAAAGTATATACATAAGAACTTAAAGAAATAATGCCAAAATAATGTAATCCCCTTTTTTGCCCACTTTTATACATCACCACCTAAAAAAACTTAAATTGAAATCTTAATATCTGCCTAGAAATTGAGCCTAATTCTTTTTTCTTTTTAATAGAGATGCCATGTGGCACTCGCCAGGCGTGCGGTAAAGCAAAATTCTACTTTATGCCGTCAGAGACGTATCTGCAATGTAATTAAATTTTTCTTCAACCACAATGTATTTGTAGACATCTAATCATTTTCTGTTTAGGTGAAGATGAATCTGACGGCTCAGATATAATGAGTCCACAAAATGCTATAAACACCCACTTCTGCTGGAACTGCCAGGAAGATTCTAACCTCAAGGAATCGTGGGGACTGCGCCGAGACGAATGTTCACGGTGTTCTCTGTGACGTTCTCTGTGGCGGATGTCTCTTGTTGTACGTGAGCTGTGACGAACTTTGTTGCGCTTTATCCGGTGTAGTATAGATACTAGATCGATATTTTCGTCGACGGGAAACAAGCGGCATAATTCTTCACCTACTTTCGGTTCGACTTCCTGTTCGAATAAAAAAACCTTCTGTAAAACTAATAAATCACTTAATAATAATAATAAAATTTTAAACATTAAACATAGAATTTGTTATTTATTAAAACTGAAATAACATTAAAAAAATAAATTTTGAATATTTTTTTCATTTACAAACAATAATTAGTAAATTAATTATTATTTTGTATAAAAAAATACCTTATAAAATCATTTTCATAAAAAATAGAAGATCCACTCAATTTTTCATTTACCAAAAATTTCAAATTCATTTTATTATTAATTAATAATTTTGAGAATATAGTACATCTTTACTTTATAATGATTCACTTTTACTACTAGTATATTCTTTTTATTATGACTTTATAAACTGTACAGGGTTCCTACTCAAATTTTTGTTTTAATTTCCATGACTTTCCCTGACCAACTTTGTGCAAATTCCCCAACCCTCACATCCCTTACAGTATGGCACATTGACAAAATAAAACAGCATTTGAATTACTATACACATATGTTTTCTTCTCCAACATTTTAATTAGTTTATTTTAATTATTTTTTCTAATTAACAGTTAAATGTTTTTTATAATTGCCAAATTATTAAAAATAAAATGTATTATTAAAATTCTGTTATTAATCCATAACCACAAAGCTATATGGCTTTGAAAAAAATCAATTATTTTTTATTATTCATTAAAAAATTCTATATAACCCATGTACAAAAGTATATATTTATTAAATTTCTCAATAAATTTCCTGAACTTTATAAATTATTAATAAACTGGAAAATAACCAGAAATTGTTTTGTTATGATATCAAAATTATTAAAATGAAAAATGATAAATAATACCATAATACATTTAAAATATTTATCATTTTGTGTACTTTGTGTAAGTTTTTTGAAAAATTTTATGTAAGCTTGGTAGAAATTTTGAGTCCTGAAAATATTCTGCACTGCTTTTCATAGGTTGTATTGCATCACATTACTTCTAGCTGCCTGAAGATGGCTGCACTTGGTCAAGCATATTGTCAAGGAAACATATTCCCTAACTTTTTGACAATTTTTAACAAATTCCTTGACATTCCATGACTTTTTCTGAAGACTAATGAAAATCCCTGACTTTTCCTGGTTTTCCCTGACTTTCCAGGTGTGTAGAAACCCTGGCTGTACTTAAGTACCATACTTTTCTCATTTACCATCTCTTTATGGCAGGTGTATCAAACTCATTTAAACAACAGGCCATTAATGTGACGGGCAAGATTCACGCGAGCCACATCACATTTACAAATTTTCTTAAAATTATAATTTGAAGTGAGAATGAAAGAATATAGATAGGGCAATTAAAACACATTTGTAGTTCAATGAATTCAACTCAACAATATATAATTCCTATAGTATTGCTTTTATTTAAACATTTATTTTATTTAATGTACATATTTATAAAACTAAAATTAATTGTTTTCACCAAAAACTTGCCAGCACTATCTCCCTTCTCCTATTTTTCCAATATCTGGATTCAAAGACTGAGAACAATCATTATGGCAGATAGATGTTTATCAGTTAATCTTGATCTGCATGCTGTTTTATTTAAATTCAGAGCATTGTGGCCACGGGCTACGAAAAATCACATCAGGGACCGCCAGTTTGACACCCCTGCTTTATGGTACAATATAATTAAAACCATATTTCCAGGAATATGACATCAATTAATGACAGAATTTATGGAAAATATAATGATGTACTTAACAACTTTCCAGGAATTGACTGAATCATAAATGTGTGAATCTACTGTATATACAGTAGAATACTGATTAACTGAATCATTAAATCACAAAATATTCCTCAATTCACTAAAATCAGCCCACAAAAATCACTATTTCTATCCATTCCAGTCTATTCCTAGCCAAAATTGTCAGCATTCTATTTGATTTTACTTTTTATGAAAGATAAAATATTTCCAATGTAAGTAAAAAGTGCAACAGTGAAAAGGAAATAATTAATTTGATGTGATAATTTGGCTTAATTAATCAGTGTATCTTTAACAGTGGCAAAACAGAATGCTAACATTTTTGGTCTGTTAACCTCGTGGAAAATGTTAGTGTTCTTTTAGCTCTGCCACTGTTAAAGATTTAATAATTAATTTGTTAAAAACAGGGCAATCAGAGAAGTAAACTTCCAAAAAGTTTTAATATTATAATACAGAGTACAGTTTGATTAAGAATATTTTTCCTTAAACTATCCAAACATCCTTTGTCATAAATTAATTTGAATAACCAGAGTGCTACTAATTTTAATACTCAATTAATTGGGTCATATGCTAATATTTTAGTTCATTTAAATATCATTATATAACTTCTAAGCATTGAATACAGATATATCAACTTACATTAATGTATAAATGTTTTTTTCGAATAGCAAATATTGTGTAATTTACAAATTGAAAAAAGTGTTTTATAAATTCACTGTTTCAGTTAGTTCAAACAGTAGAATACAGGGCTGTGGAGTCGGTAAAAAACACCCGACTCCAGATAATTTTAGTAGGCCGACTCCGGCAAAATTAAATACAAAGTCATTATATGGGAGCAGAAACGCTCATAGGGAGGTACCCTACTCTGAACTGTGAAAGGAGCCCCGGGCATTTACCCAAATACTTTTATAGTTAGTATTTTTAATATTTAACTTACATTAATATTTATTTGTATAAAAAAATTTATTTTTAACAAATATTTAATAAAAGGAGAAAGGGAGCAATAAAATTCTACATTTACATATTTTTATTCTACAGCATATGCACTTCAATTTTACCCTTGCAGAAAAGTTAGTCCAAATAAAAAGTGTGCGATCTAGTTATTTCAGCCCCTTGTTCAGAAAAGAAAAATATATACTTTGATCACTTAGTCTGGCTCATTCAGAAAAATAGAATATTTATTTAGAGCAGAAATAATAAAAGAACGATTTAAAAATATTCAAGTTTAATTGGGTAAAAATAATTTAACTATTGATACTAAACACAAATACTACAATGAAAACTACATATTTAATAAATTAAATTGCTGCATTTTGTATTTAAAATAAATGAATTATAACAAAATACAAAACATTTTTAAAAATTAATAAGAAAATTTATTTTATATTTTCACTTAAATAAAAAAAACTAAATTACATTTATAATTTTGAATTTTATAAAATGGTTCTAAGAAACAAAATAGCTTCAATTAAATCTTCTTTCATAGATGCCCTTAAATCAGCTTTAATTATTTTCAAAGCTGAAAATAATCTTTCCACACTGACTTGTGTTGGGGGCATTGCTGTGACAGATCTAGCTGCATCGCGAATAATTTCTGGATAAATTGAAATAGCTTCTTCTACGTTCAATTTTGATAAACGGTCATACTTTTCTATTTCAATTAGCCCATTTAAAAAATTTTGTTCAAATTTTATTTTTTCAATTTCTGCCGGGTTAGTTTCTTAATTCGTTAAACGTCTTCGCTTCACTTTGAGACGTTGTAAACTATCCAAATATGCTTCGAAATCAAGCTCTTTTTTTGGAGATGATTCCGAGTTGTCATTACATTCATTATTTTTATTTTCATCTTTTGATTCATAAATGTAAGGTAATGGCAACTTTTTCAAGCAAATAGCAATTTCATGAAGCTTTTCTTTCCCTGAGGCAATTTGATTGTCATTTAGTAAAATTCGATTCATTGGATCAATGTAAATAGCGGCTAACAAGATTTTATTGTCTAACAACTGAATCTCTCTTTTTCTCATTGAAGATAAAATTGCATTAGCAACAATTCCTCCAGTTTTGTTGAGCTGATGCATCAAAGTTTTCCACTGTAAGAAAAAATTTCCAGATGTAAAATCTTCAGCTTGTAACTTTAAGGTGACAGTATAAGGGTATGACAAGACACACTAATTTTTCTGTTTGTTTCCATTGGTTTTCAGTTAATAAAACACTTGGATTGTCAAGGTCTTCAAGGAAGGTTTTCAATTTGAGCAACCGCTTAACCATTAAATAAGTGCTTCCCCAGCGAGTAGATTGATCTAAAATAATTCCTTTTCTAGCACGCCTTCTCAGAATAGCATCTATTTTAGGGGTTCTAGCTACAGTAGCTACAAATCGTTCGCGACTGCATACTGTATTATCAAAACACTTACTAAAACACCTTTTCTTGCAGCCAAAGTTTATAAGAAAAACTTTCTAACGTTTTCGGTCTTGTTAAAAGACCTTTCTCAAAAAAACTAAATCAAATAAAACAAAAAATTGTAAATCAAACGCTTAGTACCGCTAACACGTTTTTCGAATATTTTCGAACTAGCTTATAATCCGTTGCAATATATGACGTCATTGTGAACTAAGCAACGGAAATATAAAAAAGATTACATAAATATCTAAACACAAATACATATAGTAACCATCGCCCAACCTCATTCAAAAATACTTAGCCTAAGATACATAGTAACTACTTCCCTCAATTATTAAGTTTATATTAAGCTAGAGGACCATGCTGCCGATATTTTTGTCGCTTCTCGAAAGTTGACTGCAAGGCCTTTATGCTTTGCCTTACAAATCTGCCAGGCTTCCGCGTAATGCCGGTGTTTCTTGTCGCGGACTATCTGCATTCATCTTGCTTGGTCCCATTCAACCTTGACGTCTTGCTCGTCCGCTAGAACGTAGGTAGCTAGCGCAGTGCACAGTTGTTTTTTTCTTATATTTGCTTGGTGTTCTGCTAACCTGTCTTTGATACATCTTCCTGTTGCCCCTACATACATTAAATTACTACGTCGCCTTGAGTCCGTAACTGGAATTTTATATACCCCGGGGAGTGTTCTTCTATCCACTAAATCCTTATCTGATCGTAATAGTTGGTACGTGGTGAGGGTTCTTTTATATAGGACTCTTTTGTTCTGGGCCTTTCCGATGCGTCGAAAAATATTATTCAGCGAAGCATTATATTCCATCGTTAGAAATCCTTCATTATGAGATAAATTTCTCTTCTTAAGGCACGTT